TAAAATTTCTAATCATCAAAAAAATAACTAAGTGATTTATCTTACTAATGGTTTAAGTTCATCAATTGATTTAAATTTATTTCCAGCAAGTATAAGTAAAGTTAAATTTGGACAACCTTCAAGATTTTCCAATCCTGAACTTAAACGATTATCACTAAGATAAAGCTAGAAAAACAAAAATTTTAACTAAAATAAACATAAATGAAAAGATTACTTTTCGAAGTTTAGGTAATTTCGGAAATTTCGCAAGTGATTGAAGGCCAACATTAATTATTGAAAGTACGCGTAAATTACAAAATTCATCTGTTAAACCTTGAATAGAATAACAACGTGCACAATTATCTAATACAAGTTCATTAATCTATATAGGAAAATATAGTTTAAAAAGTATTAAATATGCAAAACATAAAAAAAGAAATATTATTTACTGAGCTCGGTTCACGACGTTTTACTTCAAGTGCAATACGGTGTACCATGGAATTTTGTTCGGTAGCAACACTGTTTTCATCTTGCATATTTTGTTCAGACATGATGAGAGAATCAAAATGATTATTTTTATCCAAATAGATGAAAATAGAAAAATATACGATATAAATTGATTGAAAAACACCGAAAAAAAAGAGAACAATGGAGTCTTGCAATAGACGACAAACAACGACAAATGTTGAATTTAGTTGGATAGAAAAATTTAACGTCAGATGACACTAGTTTCCAATATGAAATTTTTGTTGTAGAAAATTAAATTGATCTCTCAGTACTTTGTTATTTTTTAAGACACATTTCAAACAAGCAATCTAACGAAAAAAGAGGTTGTCAACTGGTCAATCGTGTTTTAAGGCAAAACTTAGCGGACTATAGGGAATCAACCATGCCGATTCCGAATATCACCATCATTTTTGCTGCTAGACCTTCAAAGATTTGGTTTTCTCGAAAATTAATTTTCTATAGCAAAAATTTTTTTTCATCTGTCTAGTTTGTAGAGCGTCTCGAGTTGAGTATAGGAAACTATTTTTTTTTGAACCACCATAGAGGGGACTAGGAGAATAAAAAGTTTTAATTCTTACTATTTCTCATGCTTTTCTTTCAGCATTTACATTCTATAGGTTTTATTGCTAACTTTTTTTTTTCTTTATTCCAGATGTTACGTAGTTCATTTTCAGATTTTCTATTCAGTTTTTGATCTATTTGAAACCATATTATCATAACATGCAGAGGTATAACTTACCACTAAAGATCGGAGGTGCAGCATAAGCAAGTGTCAAAAGTGAGGGAGCGTTATATCCCACGCGCTTCTGATGACCTGTTCTTTTGTTCTTCTAACAAAATCAGTTCATGATTACCAGGAAAGGATTTATTTTGCATCTGTCTTAGTAGTGATTATTTTCTTGCTATTTCGCTTGAAGATGTAGGTGAAATAGAGACCTCGCCCTCACCTACACCCTTTTTAACCTAAAGAAAACTTTGAGGAAGATAAAGGCCTTGTTAGTTTTTTTCCAATCATTGAACCTCAAAAGATTGAAATTCGGAGCCCTCCGGCGAGCTGTAGAGTGTGTTATACATGTCTGAGTACAATGACAGAATATGGTGTAGTGCAATAGCAATGTGTATTCGACACAATGATATTTAGCATTATGGAAAACCTATGAAAGTTCAAGCTCTACAAACTTTTTTCTCTTCTAGTCCCATCTGTAATAGTTCAAATTTTGAAAAAAATAGTGTTTTTGATAATATGTTCGAAGTGCTCTACAAACAAAATCGATTTAGACAGATTTCTTAACGAAAAAGAAAGCTCGTTTTCAAGAAAATCGAATATTTGAAGGTCTAATGGCAAAAATCATGTTGATATTCGGTATCAACATAATTGATTACCTATAATATGATAGGTTTTAGATAAAAAGCGATTGAAAAGTTGGTGACTTTCCCTTGTAAGATAAGGAACTTTGTAAAATAAAGTTTTGTTCGATTTTTCAACTGTGTGTTTCAATTTTTTCAATAAGAGTATCTTTGACTAATATTTCTTGTAGATGAAAGAGAGATTTGTCTTATCATAATTATTGTGTTAACCGATAGATATGAGGTATTACATCGCTCTATTCAAATTTCAAATTTGACAACGACTGCCAATCTGATCAGATATTTCCTATGTTCTGTTGATTTCTATGGAAAATCATTTCAGTTTTAATATAGAATGTATTTAATCGATATAAGATATATCTCTATTTCTCTTGCGATACACACAATCGTCTAAATTAATTTAAATTTGAATGAAAAAAGACTGCATTCAATTTCAAACTGAAATGGAAGTTTTTTGAATTATTCATTATTATATGCTATATAGTAATGAATAATTTTAAAGACTCTGAAGGCCACTATCAATAAAATGTAAAAGTCAATAGCGTATTCTCTTAAACTACAGCTGTCTGCAAAAATATGGACGTGATTTTTTTCTTTAATTCGGTTTGAAATAAAAAAGATCATAGACTTCATGGTACTGGTATAATCAGTAACATCTCGAGAAATCAAGTCCTTCTTATATGAAAAATATTTACAATGAATTGTCTCTTTGTTTTAATTTGTTATTTTTCGAAAGAACTAGTTATTCTGTTATCTCTATGAAAGTAAATTAAATAAATAATTGAAACTAGAATAATAAATTAACATAAGTTATAGTATTTAGTAGATTTAGAAAATTAGAAATATCACCGGATCTGACTGGGCCTGTAGACCAAATTAGATCTGAAAACAGTAGCCTGTTGGTAATTCAATTCATCGCTTTCTTAAATCATTTTGTTAGTATCTTGAGATTGTTTAAAACTTTAAAACTTTCCCTTTTTATCATATAACTGAATTAACTAGATTTTGATTAAAATAATAGTGTCTAAAACGTTGTGGCATGATAAGTTTCCTTAAACAGGATACCATGATATAGTATGATTGTTCAACATATCATCAATTGATGTATAATTATAGTCAACGATAACAATATATTAATTCTTCTCAAATAAGATTGAGCGTTATTAGAACATATTGAGTGATTGACTTAAGAATATAAGCAATTGTTTGTACCTTTGAGACTAAGTCAATAGAAATACTTAGGGCTATCTAAAACTAGTGGCGAAAGTATTTGAATGCCTTATAAGAAGCTTACAGAAATTCTTTCTCTATATGGACTGATAGTAAAATGATGTTCTATTTTTCTGTGCAAGTACATTATTCCTCAAGTAATGAAACTTCGATAACACCTATTTTTTTATCATATGTGATGATTATACTAATGGCTATTTAAAAAATGGCGGAGTGAATATTTTTTGAATAACTTCTGATAGGAAAGAGATAGAGAGCTACGGTTTTCATCATTCGAAATAGGAGATAAAGATGCATCGAATTATATATTATATGTTTTCTTAGTATGTGGTTTAAAGTTTGTTTGATCAATTTTCTCAGTGTAAAAAAAAATTGTTTTTTTTTATCAAAAAGGAAATAGCAGAAAAACTTTTTTCACGGAAATGGCTAGAAAAATCACTTATAGCTTACACTAGAATACCTATAACTTCTGAATGATTAATGCTAGAAATCTGAAGATTGTGCAGTTTTATAGATCTTCCATTGGCGATCTGAAAATGCTCATAACAATTGGAAATTTGCTGTGAATATCTCACGGGGTAGGTTTGTTTTCAAAGAGATCGATTGAAAACCTTTAAAAAAATCGCATAACTCACGATTCGATGCCTTCTCTTTCGAACGATGAAAATTGTAGCTCTCTATCTCTTTTCTCTCAGAAGTTAGTCAAAAAATATTCACTCCGCCTTTTTTTAAATAGCCATTAGTATAACCGTCACATATGATTAAAAAAAAAAGATATTATCAAAGTTTTATTACTTGAGGAATGATGTAATAGAACAGAAAAATATAGCATCATTTTATTATCAATCCATATAGAGAAAGAGTTTGTCTAAACTTCTTATAAAGAATTCAAATACCATCACCACTACTTTTGGATAGTGCTAAGTAGTTTTCTCTCTAATTTTAGTTTAATTATAGACCACCTCATCATTCGATGTAAATGAATAGAAAAGTTTTACTGAAGCATTAAACGATTTCTGTTTCAATTTCTAAGAAGAAATAATCTACTTATCTGTAATTTATTCTCAACATGCGACAAAAAAAAAAGGAAGATGAAAGAAAAAAAGAAAAATGAACGATAGACAGAGATAATGAGACAAGATGAACCGATGAATATTTGTTATCCTTCACTGATAGCTTTGATCAAGTATGTGAGAAAAGATAAATGCTGACGTTGATGAATATTCTTACAATATCGATAGTATGAATATCTAGTGTTATTACAATTGAATTTTTTTCCAAGAAAGTAATCATCACGAAAATGGTCAATGATAAATAAAAGAAAGAAGTTAATTGTGTAAAATATTGACTACTACAAATTAGTTTCCTTTTTTTTTGCATTGTTACTATCTATTAAGACACGAATTCAATAGTTTTTTTTCTAAAAATTAAAAATTGATTACACATTCACATTTTTTTTCTTCGAATTAAGTCTAAAAATTCTTATATTTTTTGCTGAATATGAAGTGAATAATTGATGTTTCTCATCACATGAAAACAACGGACTTTATTACTCATGACAATAGTCTTGAGTTTTTCATTTTCGATGATATTTAGTTATGTTTCACCAAAAATAAGTAGCATTCGAAATGAGAATAAATTAAATGCTCAGTATTTTTCTTGCTCATAGATTACAAAATCTTTTTGAAACATACAAATCTACAATTTATTTGCGTAATAGATATCATCCCATTCAATTTTCATCAGAGTTTCTCTTCTCATAATCCAATAAAATATTTGTAGCATGCTTTTATGAACTAGCTGGTTTATTTGAAAATTGCTCGAATAAAAATGAAACAAGATAATATACAAAAGAAAAATTTAAAAAAAAATTGAACTGTTCATTTTATGATTGATCGACACATGAAACAATTTATTTATGTAATTGAACGTCGCCCATTACCACCACCATTTGAACCTAGTTCAGCAAGTGCAACAGTCAATGATGAAAGAAGTGAATTCGAAATGCCTTGGAGTGCCTTTATTAATGCTTGCAATAATGCATTTACTGCTTTAAGAATTTGAGCTATCAAATTACTTAATGAATTTTGAAGACCGAGAACATTATTTATAATACGTGCAAGAATAAGAGTTTGTGCAGGAGTTAATGTTGAAGAATTTCCAATAATACCGTTAAAAATATCACCAAGTTTTGCTACTGCCTGATTACTATCAGTTAATTGTGTTAAAACAGCATTTGCAAGATTATTAATAAGAATATCACCAAGACGACCGAGATCAGTCTACAAAAATAAAAATAATCCCATATTTTATTTTATTATTTAGATAGTATGAAAATATTTGTTTGACTTACCAAAAATTGTTGAAATGTACCTTGTAGAGTATTTGCAACATCTCGAAGAATACGAATAACTATTCGTAAAACTTGTTGGACAAGTTCAATAACACTTTGTAGAACTTGACCAAGAGCAGTCCCAAGATTATCTAATAATGGACCTACAATGACTAAAACACCTCTAGTGTTATTGAAAGAACCAACAATAGCATTAATAAGAGCTGATGCATTTGTTCCAGCGAGAGACGGAATTTGAGCAATATCACTATGAATTGTATTGGCAAGAGGTAATTCTGTTGATATGTTATTAAGAGCACGAACAACGTCACGTTGTTGTTTAAATGTTGTTCCAAGTGTTTGAACAATTTGTTCAGTATTATTAGTTAGGTTTGACAAACTAATTACAAGACCGTTGGAAACACCTCCTTTATCAGCATGAATGTGAAAAACTGCTGACAGCACAATGCAAATAATTAAAATCAACCGAGTCATAATTATTTAACAGAGTGGCTATGTTAATATTACAAAATGAAGAGAAATGAATAAGTGATGACTTTGCTGTAGATTCGTTGCTGCTTTTTATACGGTGAAGCTGCGTAGAAGATACTGTCCTTGGAGAGTATGGGTGTGGAATTGAACGATATCATGCATCGATGAATAGTTTTACTCCGTATATCCTATTATTTTTCATATTTATAAAAAGATAAAACTCAAATAAACAATTAAATAATAAATCATGCATAGCCTTTATGATAAGTCAAGGTCAGTAGTCTATTATAGTGTTTTAATTTTGTCTCTATTTACGGAAACTTATCAAGCAAATCATTCTTGTCAATCATTGATTGATTATGTCTGCTAAAAATATTTTTTTGTTTCATTCTGTATGATTTTATACTTGAAGCAACTGGCTTTCATAATGCACTCAATGATCGATGTATAATATACTAAAATATATTATAGTAATTTTGAGACTTAATATGAAGATGCTTTTGATATCCCTAAATTTTCGATCATCATCGAATTTTCATGGAAGTTATTGAAAAAAAAACTTGCTTTGAGAAATATTATGTGTATACTAGCCTTTATCTTGAAGATGAGAAACAAAATTAATGATCCAAAGAGTTTATTTAAACAAAAGAATTTATCGAAATAAAATCAACAACCTAACTTTTATCAAATGATGCAATAAATTTGTTACATTAGAAGTTCATATAGAATTTGAATTTTAAAAGATCAATATTTAACTGACACGAATTTTGTTTTACTGAAAAATGTTTACAAATCGAAATTTTAAATAAAATATAGCACAACCCTCAATGATAGCTACATGTTCTATATATATATATATATGTTTGAAAATATTAGATAAACAATATTTATTATAAATGAAATTCATTTATTTGATCAAATCATAAAAGTTTTCTCTTTCATGAGAACCTTATTCCTATTTATCATATAGAACAAGATCAATTTTTTGTTTTTCAATAAAAGGATCAACATGAATGATTCTAAAAGATTATATCCATTCATAAAATTTTTCTCAAGTCAATTAAAGAAAAAAAAAATCTTGAATGAGCAAGAATTTGTATAATGTAATAAGAATATTAAATTATGATGATGAATCTATTTTATTTAATCACTTATAATAAGAAATAATATTTGAATGTATTGTTAAAGATTACAACATTTGGAAAATTATTTTAAATCGAAATAAACTAGATTTATTATAATGAAATAAAATCTAATCATTTATGTATCAATTTTATAATATTTAATATAAATCATTCATGATATTAGTTATTTTCTTTGATACTGTTAAGAAGATTAGTAAATGGACAATTGTGATTCTAAGATTATTGATAAAACATATTTTAATTAAAATAAACAATAAATCAAGCATTTCTAAATATTCAGATAACATCTAATATATGCAATATTATTTTATTCGTTTTATCAAATTTTTCTATTGATAATTAATTATTAATTGAAATATGTTATAAATTCAATTAAAATAAACTAAGATAACTTATTAATATCATTTGAGATTTGATCTTATGTTAAGTTAATCTATTTTTCCTCCTTATATGACTTTGTAGATTTTTCAGATTTAATTTTTTTATAAATTTAGAATTAAAGATTATCTTCTTTTCAACAATATTGAAATTATTTAAGTATTATTGACATGAATTGTTTTTAAAAAGATAATCGTTATAACTAAAGATTATTCATATGAAATCATTTTGATTCTTTTAGAAAATGTTTTTTTTCCGCAAAAATAATAAAAAGAAAATCATAAATAATTAAAAATGACATATTAACGTACGTTTTCAATTAGAAATGATTCATAATCATGATTTGTACAAAAATAAACATAATTAGAATCACTCATGCGATAAATTTTACTATTTTGATCATCTATTACTAAATAAAGATGTACAGAGCACCTAAAAATGTTTTTCTAGCGGAATAATGCTGTGATTTCAAATAATATCAACAATAAATTTTTTTAACAAATTAAAGCACATCGAAAATGAGATCTATCAATACTAAATAGTAAGGATTATGGTAATTTTTCAGTGTCAAATTCAAAAAATTCCTAAAACTTTAGTCTATATCAGCAAAGAAAAATTTCATTCAAGCAGCAATTCAAACTAGATGTCATTTAAAATGATCCATATCATGAACTGCCAAATATCTAACCTGGAAATCTTAGAACAATAATCAAAAATAAAGCTAAAGAAAATTGCTGTCAGGAACGGAACACAATCGTTATGATGAAGAAACTCTAAAAAAAAGCATATATCATCTGTTTTGACAAACATTGACCTACTTGAAATTACTTTATGAGCGTATCCGTCTCATCTTCTTGCTATAAAAAAGCTAATGGTCATCATACTTATTAATGATTATATTCATCAGATCTTTAAAAAAAAAATAAATATTACTTTTTGATATTCATCATTTTAGATATCATCGATTGCATTGGCACATAAGCTCTGAGCGTTTGGATCAGTAGAATTATATCGCCAATATAAAACTACATTTTAAGAGAAGTAATTATATATTCTGTCAGAGCTCGGAATTCTCTATCACCCTGTATATTTAAGTCTTGACTTGCATTTATTTGCTGAAAAAATATTTCGCATACAGTGAAGACACCCTCATTCGTATTGACAATGTTCGAAATATTTTTCAGCAAATAAGTTCAAGTCAGACCTGAATATACAGGACGATAGAGCATTTCAAGAGCTCTCACAATTATATAATTACTTTTCTAAAAAGCCGGATTACTGTAGAGATAAAAATTTTAGAAACACATGAGAAAGGAACAAAAAATGGAGTTCGTGGAAATCTGAGAAGAGAATTCCGAGCTCTGACAGAATATATAATTACTTCCCTTAAAATGTAGTTTTATATTGGCGATATAATTCTACTGATCCCAACGCTCAGAATTTATATATCAATGCAATAGTTTGAACTGCCTCATAACAGGAATTTTTCTCTGCTCATATGAGCTAAAGTTTTAGGAATTTTCTGAATTCGATACTGAAAAGTTACCATAATCTTTACTATTTAGCATTGATACATCCCATTTTCGATGCGCTTTAATTTGTTGTTGATGTTATTTGAAATCACAGTGTTACCTTTATGGAAAAATATTTTTAGGCCACTTATACTTAAAGGATAAATACTTTCTGATTCATATATTGTACATTAAGTAAACGAATAATAATTTTTAACTTATTAACCTTTATACAATTTAGTCATGTATCGTGATTATATGCTTTCAAATGTTGCTAAGTTTATGTGTGTTTATCATTTAATATCTTCTTCAGACACATTAAATAACTGATTATATGCTTTTAAATTAAGTTCTCATTTAAAAAGTTCTTTTTTTTGTTTTAGAAAAACTCAAATATTTGTTCACTATCTATTTGTCTTTTTGAAATAATTTAAAACATTAAAAATGAGAATTTGTTTCGTGTTATTCTCAGTCGTTTTCCCTTTTTTTAATAAATATTTCAAATTGAAACAGTAATTCATAAATATTTTTATTCATTTGAATTTTAAATGACTGGTTACAAAATTTCCATTGATTCTGCTATATGTGTATCATTTAATGTTTCTTTTAGATGTATTTGCTATTATGGATTTCGTCAAGTAAAAAGAAATGCATGTGAAATTTAAAAATCTATGATTCTTCTTTTTTGATATAAACTCCTGTTAATTTCAAATATTTCATCAGTTATAAGCAAATCAATAAAATTTAATACTAAAAAAAGGTGAACGAATAGCAATGAATTGATGAATGTCAATGTTATTTAAATACGAATCATTTTTAAAACTACTTCGATTTCAATATTTCAAAATAATGAAAGGGAACAAATGCTTGTAAAAATCTATATTTTCGTGATACGTGCACAATGAAAACGCATAATAGACGATTGAAATAGATGTATTCATTTTGCTTATGATATAAATATAACAAAATCAACCCAAAAAAATAACTTAACGATGAAAAAAGATAATGAACATTAACGACAAATTTTCAATTAATATCATATATTTAACTTCTTTATTCTTTGGTTATTTTTACAATTGTATTAATAAATACATAAATTGAAATGTTTTTATTGAATTAATGAATTTAAATAATACAAATTTCTGAAAGAAATATTGATGCATATAATAGATTGCAGTATTCATAATATTCACCAATCATGACTATTTTATTATAAGCAAATTAAAAAGTCTAAAAATAAAACTGATAATTAAACATATTATCTGGTTTTCTTTCATCTTCTGTTTAAAATGATGGAAAATTCTTATTCAATCAGCTTTTTAATATTCGATTTATAATTCACAAAAAAAAGAAAAAACTAATTAGAATAACTTTTTTTCTGTGAATTTATCTATTTCAGATTACTGAAGAGGCTTTTACAAAAGCATTTCATGCGAATTAATAGTGATTATTCCTAGCTTCAAACTTATTGTAAAAAATACAAGTTACAGTTTTCTCACAGTCTTCATAAAAGCTATAATTAATCGTATTGTTTACATTTTCTAAATAAAAATTTTAATTAAAAGATAATATTGGATCAAAAAAAACAATGTACAAAGAAGATAATGTTTGAGCCAATAAATCTTCGTCAATCTAATGATTCTCTAATTTTTGAAACACTACTTTTTTAAAGTTTCAAAAACTAAGTTTTGCATAATTAGAATTTTCCTTGAAACACGAGACAAAAAATGCAAAACTCAACATCATCTGTATTAATTCTTAAATATTGTCAATTTTTTGTTAAATATAGAAGACGTTAACAATTCTCTATAGAATACTCGTACTATTTTAAACAAAATACAGTCAATATGTGTACAAGACAAAAATAAATTGAAAAACCAGGCAGTTATAATAATTAAATTATCGAATGTACAATAACAATAAACCAAACATTTTGTACTTTTTTTTTGTTTCAAGGACATTCATCACT